AAAGCCGACTGTGAAGCCCCCCCCCCCCCCCCCCCCCGATGAAACTGAGAGAAACGGATTTGAAACATAAACTCAGGCGTGTCTCCTAAAGCTGTGAGGTTAAAGTCGGTGCTAAAGCTTCCTGGTTTATCAGGAACAACACGTCCAGCTGTTGTCTAACAGCAGAGGTCGTGCCCGGAAAGGCCAGCAGGGTTGCTCTTTATTTAAATCCCAGCAAAGCCACCAGCTGGCTAAATGTATTCACACATAGATTTTCAGCAAAAGCCCTGCAAGCCTCCAAAAGCCAAAGATCTGAGGAGGTTTGTTGTTCTAGCCCGCAGCTCTGCATCGATCCACCTGAAACTTCACTGGCTCAGTTAATCACTGTATTCCTAGAGAGGGCAGGAAGCAAGACGGAGACGGGGAACGTCCTTTTTTTGTTTGAATAATTCATTTTAACTGATGAGTAACAGAAAATCCTGGCTGACATTTGGAGGAATTAAATCTACGTTTTGTTGTAACTGATGTTGGGGGGGGGGGCTTCAGCGACTGACAGAATTACCCTGCTCTTCAGTTTGAACAACAGGAGGTAAAAGAGGCAAAAAGAAGAACGAGGAGAAAATCAGAACATTTTAAAAACATTTAGAACGGTTTCATTTCTCATTAATTCATCATCAGTTACAACATGAGTTAGTTTTACATTAAAGAATAATGGCTTTTAGGGATGTCCCGATACAACTTTTTCACTTCTGATACGATACCGATATTGCAGTCTTCAATATTGATCGATACCAATATCAATTTGATACGATATCAGCAGAAATCACACGTACTTTTACCTATTTCGTAGTGCGGAATTTATGAAAGGCTTGCTCCACTGATATACTCAGGTGAAGAACAAGAGCCAATAGCAGTAAGTTTGAAAAAAAAAAGACAATTTTTTAACCATTGGTGGCAAAACTGTGAACCTTAACGGAGTGTATCTGTCCGGTGTAATCCGATACAGTGTTTTTGGGCTGATAGCAGTATGGGAACAGGACATCCCTAATTTATTTAATTTACATCAAAGAATTAAAAATCACTTCTGGAAATATTTTCTTAAAGAACATAAGCATTTCTGCAACACTCCACGTTTTTACTTTAGGCTGCTGAAGGGGTCTGCAGGGCTGTTATATGACTATTTTTACAATGTCCGCACAATAAGAGTACCAAACAAGAACCTGGAATAAACAGCTGATCATTTTGTTCTATACTTTTTATTTTACTTTTTAAGTGTGATTTATTAGAAATCCGTAAAACTTATCCTATTAAAGGCAATACATACATTTTTTGCTAAGCTCCTGTAGTCCTGTAGAGCCAGTTTGAACTGACCACCAATGAGCATTAACCAACAGAGTGTGCTCGAGCGTTTGTGGACATAGCCAGAGTTGGTGACATTTCTCATGGGCAAGCCTTTAGAAATTTATTTATTTATTTATTAACATATTTTTCAGGAGGATAAACTGCTTGAGGTGTAACATCTCCTTTTTGGGCAGGTCCTACAATATATACAAAATAAGAAATTAGATGGCAGAGACCATAAAGAAAAGAAACTTGACTTACCTCAAATAAAAAAAAACTGCAATAAAACCCAAACATGTGGGCATTGCTGTGCCAAATAATGTACAGCTGACAGTCGACATTCAAAACAGAAGTAGGGTGATGTAAACCAACAGTGCAGCTATACCAATACTAAATCAAACCGTAGAAAAACTATTACAAGTCGATCTCACATGGTTGCAAACAGAGCTGCGAAATAGTCTAAATGACGAAATCGATCTCAAGTCTGCAGGTAACGTATTCTAATCCAGAGGAGCTTTAATAATAATTGTTACAAGCCAATTTACCGGGCTAGCTCCACTCTTCTAGATCTTGTTCAAATCTCAGGGTTTGGCTTGTAATCGGTGTAGTGAGCGTGGCGTCAGTTACCAACAAACACCCTTACTTTGTAGAGAGTTGATTAGCAATCACCAAATTACCCAGGGCTTCTAATTCTGACCAACATTCGTTTAAGCAGACACAAAGGAGGCGCAAACACACCTACACACCCCCCCAGTCCATGAAGCTTATGTACACTTCAGGTGAAGACCCTTACCAGCTGTTCCTTTTATGCTGAGGAGACAACTGGCTTCACCTGTAGCCTAGGATGGAGGAAACGACGTATATCAATAACACCTTGGGATGGCATTTACAACCAGCATCTCGCCTTTGCTCGGTTACCGACAGGAGGAGACCCCACTCGTAAATCCTTTTTTCGTTCCTCGAATCCGAGGAACTAGGTTTTCTTTCACACAGATGAAAAAAGAATAATAATCCAAACAAAACCCCGACACAGCGGGTTCAAAGGTGAAACAACGCTTTGCCAATAAACCGAGTTTTAGCAAAGTTGAGCTGAATAAGCTCTCCAAAAATGACACTAGGTCAGATTATCACAGACAAAAAGCTCAAAGCCAAAGCTTCCTTCTTTCCATCTCTCTACCTCACAAACTCTTCCCTTCAAAGGCCCTTCCTCCAGACCCAGTAGCTCCTTTTTATTTACTCTGTCCCCCCTCCCTCACAGTCATTTCTTTGTTTGCTGCTTCAGACTTCCTGGTCACGTGTTCCTCTTCTTCTTGTTACTTCTCCAACGGCCCCGAAAAGACCATGAGTCTTGGATGTCATGATTAGGGTTGTCACGGTATGAAAATTTAACCTCACGGTTATTGTGACCAAAATTATCACGGTTTGCGGTATTATCGCGGTATTTTTTAAACGGTGTTGCATATGTTCAGAAAGCATTGATAGTCCTGTTCTACACAAACTGAAATAGTTCTGAAAAGGTTTAACAGTGTTTATTAAACCTAAAATAACACAAAGCCTTAGCAAAAGTGCAACTTTTCACAAGTAAAGGAACAAATAGCTTCTTTTTCTGGAACATGTTACAGTAGTCAGTGCAGGTTTAAATGATACAAATCCAAACATTCAAAACATAAACAATATGTAAACAAATCAAAGAAACACCACTTGTTTTCTCATATACTTGTTTTCTTCATTATCAAAATGAAAATCTAAAACTCCAGTCCACACTTGACTTGAGCACTGTACAAGTCAACCTTAAAAAATATGTATTTAAAATAAATAGCCACTTTAAACAAATGACTAAAATAACTACTACACTATGTAATCAAATCCAAATGTTCAAGTATAAATGGCATTGAATAAGTAAACAAATCCATGACAAGGAACTAATTGTATATTTCTCTTCATCATCAACAAATAAGATGCTTCATCCAGCAACAGGGTGTCCGTGACACGGTTTAAATGCTGGCAGAGGACGCTGCGGCTGCAGTATATAGTGACTCGTTGCATTCTCCCTCAACCAAAAGTCCTCACGTCATGCATTTAAGCTAAAATGCTAATGTTATCTTACCTTGCACTGGCTGTAGAGACGTGGGTGATGGTCACACAGATGTGCCATTAGATTCGAAGTGTTGCTGCCTTCTGCAGACACTTGTTTCCTGCACGTTCTGCAGACGGGATAGCCGTCTTCTATTAACTGTCCCTCAGCATTTTTCATAAATCCAAAATATGCCCATACTTCCGATTTAGTCTTCTTTGAGGGCTGATGGATGTCCTGGGCGCTGCCGTCTCCTCCTTCGGCCATTATTTCAGCTTCAAAGTTTTGGTGCCGTTGCAAACTAAAAAGTGCGTGTGCGCGCCGCGGGAACTTCAGCTGAAGCGACGGTGGCTGGTAAGGGTCACCGCGCCGAAACCGCGGCCACGGTAAACCCACCGAGATAATATAGTTTTTTAAAAACTGGACGGTTATTTTTATTGTCAACTTTTTTACCGGGGTTTACCGCTATACCGGTTACCGTGACAACCCTAGTCATGATGTCACCTTTTCTTCTCCCAGTCTTCATCCGTTCACTTGTTTCTTCTTCTCTGCATGCTGTTGACATTAGCCCAACATTGCCCCTCCTTCGTTCCATCCGGACCTCGGGGAGGTGAAATCTAATTTCTACTGCTTGTTTTAGCGATCTTATCGATTTTACAAGTACACGGTCTGTTTATTAGCTCATGCACCTGGACTAATAAGACACAATCCTTGCCTCCTCCACTTCTCTGGAGGTCAAAAAGGTTACCACAGAACCGTGAGACCGAAACAGCTCGGTGAAGGCAACTAGCAATGTACGACTTCAGGGGTGATAAGAGACAAGGCTGTAGGGACACACACACACACACTGATACAACTTGGGGAGCCTAGAATTGATTTCACATAATGAGAGACATAATTCAGACTTAATTCCATACATTAACAAGTCTGATTAGACTCCATACTACAATAATAGCAAATAAAACCTGATCTGTTCTACGGGTATAATACAAAGAGTTAAAGGACACTAGCAAAATTTTCAAGTGAGAAGGAAAATCAGAATAAATACATTTAAAAAGAAATAACCAATGAAATAGACGTCTAGCTTTCAGGGACAACCAGGACAGGACCAATCACAAGCTTGCGGTCTCCGTCTGTTTTAATGGATAGTTAAAATTTGGGGCATTTCTCTGTCATGCCAGACGGAGAGCTCTTGAGTCGACGTGTAATAGCGTTGCGTGTCTGTCCACACGCAGAAGTCTAAATTAGGCTTAACTTTTACTTCCAGGCTCCACCATGATGCCACCAGAAAAATAAAGCTCCATCTTTTTCTTCTTCTTGTGCTTTTTGTTGGTGATCTATGAACTGATATTGCTAACCACTAGCATTACAGCTAACAGCCGTACATTACAGCTAACAGCCGTAAAGCAGGTAAAGAGCGCCCCCTAGGAAACCTAGGGTTTTGGTCAGCAGAACGCTGCGGAGCGGTGAAACTGTATGAAACTGGTGACGTTTCTATCTCAACGATCACTTATTACTGATGACTTGATTACTAGCAGGTCAGTTGGAGCACGCTGGTTGTTGGTGAAGTTTTAACTGTAACCCTCTGTTGTGTTTGTGGTGACAGGTGTCGGACAAGAGCAAAGCCAGAGGCACGGCCCACAGGTAAGAAACCACAAGTTGTGTATTATTGATCTGTTTGGTTCTGTACCACATCCTCCCAGTTCATTATTCTGCTGAAGAGTTTAAACACACTGCATGAAACTCTGAGCTTCTTTTGTGTTGCTGGTTTCTGAAAGCATCCTCAAAGACCAAGTTCTGTGAAAAAACTTTATTTTTTACTTTTTCTTTTTGAAATATGATCGCTCACTCTCCAGTTTCACATGCAGGCTGAATGTGGAAATGGTCTTCTACCCCTATTTCCTGCATTAGATAGAAAACAGACAGTGAAACACACGAATTAGAAAAGCCAGTGATATTAGCACATCATGATGTCACTGTAGCATTTTTGGACTCACCGATATGTGCTTGTTTCAGAGAAGGCTGCTGTGGATTTAGCATCCAGGAGAGAGCAGAGCACGTCTTGGCTACTACAAGCTAACCATTAGCATTAGCAACTCCACCACACAGCAGAGCTCTTTCAGGCTTGATGCTCCGATTTTTCAGCAAAGCTCCATTGTTTGGTTTTTTTTCTAAACAGAGTATTGATTTGTTTTTACCTTTTTTTAGCTCACAAGTTTCGACTAACACTGTAGCCATCCTCAGAGCGCCTCCCTCTCCATCCGTATAGGGAGCCTAAGTCACGCCCATCTACTTCCGCACCTTGGGTCCCCAGAAGAACGAAAAAATGAACGCAATTCTACGGGGCTAAAAACGCTATTTTCTCATTCAGCTTGTTTTGTGCCATGATTTTCACATATGATGTCCGTGAATTTTAAAGACGCATTTTGGTACCAAGAATGCCCTTGTTTTCGCACAGGGGAAACGCTTTTTTAGTTTTTGTGTGAAAATAAGTCCACGACTACAAATGCGCTTCACAAAAGTGACGTCATCGAACCAGACACGGAGAAAACTGAGGGGAAAAGGGCTGTAAAGTCAGAAAACTTCCCACAGGAGGAAAGAGCCACCATAAATCTGGTCATGTGGTACGTCGCAGCTATGTTAGGAGAGAGGAGATTATGTGGTGATGTCACATATGCGACGTACCGATGTAGTCATGGTAATTATGAACTTTTACAAGCTGATAAATCTCAAAGTACGTAACTAGCGTGGTTGATACACCCATCATTACTTTTCATTTAAATTGCAGTACAACATATGTGTGATCCAGGGAGTAAGGCAAAGCAGGTTAGAAAATAGAGCTTCAAGCCCCGTTGACCTGCATTCATTTTCGTTCATCCGGGGACCCGTGAGCTGACCGGAAAGAGAGGAGGCTTAGGCTCCGTATGCGTCCAGCAGGGGGCGATGTCACTCTCCAGAACCAGTGGAATTTTATGGATTGCACAGAACAAATGTGCGTTCTTTGTTTCACAGACAACAACCCCATAATTCCAACGATTTAAGGTAGTCCAGGAATTCACGCACCATAACATGTAGCAGTTAGCTAACACAGAGCATACTTGTCACCTCAAGAGAGAGAAAATATCTATAATTTGGATGCATTTTAAATGAACAGCAAGTGTAATAAACATGTGTAATGTGTGCAAACTGGGCATTTCATGAGGCGAAAAAGATAGTGCTGCATTCCACACTGATGCGCGCCACCTTAAAAAGGCGGACCCTGCTCAGTTTGCTGCAGCAAGTCAGCTACGTCAGCCGACACCGAACTACACATTAAGACACTAAGAAATAGTCTACAGACAGCAAAAATGCCAAGCTAGCAGAATATTTATCTCACTGGACATCGGGTTCTGCAGTCTGCTTCAGTCGCGGTATCATCTGCTGTCTCTTCCTACTTTTACAAACACAGCAGCCCTGTTACTGAAAACAGACGTAAACAATTTAAAATATGACAACTTTTACATTTATTCTTATTATCAACATGTTTCTTTTTCATTTAAATTATAAATGAAAGTTATTTTACATATATTCTTAATATTAAAACGTGACTGGAACATGCCTACTTGTGTTATTTGTGGAGGTAAACACCAATACTGTGACGCAAACTCAGTGGTAGAGCTGCGTTGCTGTTAGCCAATCTGAGGTGAGATGTCCAATTATCAGGAAGTGAGGCTCCAAATCCTCCAGTTCTCTGCTCTCCTCTGCTTTGGCTAACTTCAACTTCCTGAAACATTCCACAGAGATTGACTCACGGGGCATTTATTTATGCACGAGACCACTGCAAATGTATTGAAAAAACAAGTGAACTTGGTCTTTGGTCAGTGACGCCACAGTAGGAGCAGAAGGTTGAGTCACATCCTGAATTAAGGTGGAAACTGAAGCAGGACGGAGCTCCTGCAGTGTTCCGGTGAAAAGACACTAACTATGGAGGCGTCTGAAGGTGTGGGGGCTTTGATTAACTGGACCCTGAGTGCGGACACCATCAGCAGCTCTGGAGCTCTTACCTTCAGCCCGATCACGTTTCACTTTCCTCTGGCATGCTTCCTTTAATGAAAGTACAGCGTGGCATTTTGACTTATTCATATTCAGTGTTCTTTTGCTTTGATGTTGAAGGAACATGACGGGAGTGGTTTAGTCATGTTTTCAGCTCAGGTAGTTCTGTCCACCCCTGGCAGGTTCTGCATGGAGGTGATCGATGATGAATGTGTGAAATGATATCAGCTAAATACTCCACCAGTCCTTTTTCTGTTTTCTTCCTCTGACAAGACAAAAAAATGTGAGCGAGCCGTGCACTTTGCAACCATGACAACACATCTTTATTTCCTGGTGATTTTTGCTCAGAAATTGTTTTTTTTCTCTCTCCCAGACTGAGTTTACTCTAGCATAATTACAGGCTGAGCTGAGAGACAATGTCCTTGGTTCATAAATTATTATGTTCATAGGTGTTTTACTGCTCAGAGGGTTTGTAATTCATGAGGATAATCCAGTGGGGGTTTGTAGAAAGGATATAAACGTTTAATATCTGTTTGGAAAAACAGAACCAGATCTGACTGGATGAAAGCTGATGATATCAGGTAGATTATTATTTTTTTAAATGATTGATCATTCAGAGTTTTTCAGGCTGAAAATAGTCTCCTACACCTCTCTTCTGCTTTAGCTTCTGATAGAAAACAGACGGAAAAACGCTCGATTCAGAAAATCCTGACAGATCTACGTCACGCTGTCACTTAACAGTCATTGACTCACCCATCCTGACTCACAGCGGGGAAGGCTGTTTTTGGTTCATCGTCCAGGAAACAGCAGAGAACGTCTCGGCTAGTAGAAACTAACTGTTAGCATTAGCAACCCCACCACATGGCAGAACTCCTCCAGGTTTGTGTTATTTGTGGAGATACAACATCAGCGTTGTAAAGCAAACAGAGTCAGTGGTAGAGTTGCGTTGCTGTTAGCCAGTCGGAGGCAAGATGTCCAAATATTGGGAAATAAGACTCCAAATGTAGCTTTTTTTCTGCCAGTTTTTCTTCCAGCTGACTACTAAGTCCTCAAACGGGTGCCCTGCAGCTTTTTATTCAGAGAACGACTTACAAATATATTAAAATTATGAGTAAAGTAAGGTTGAGTTTTAAAGTAAAGTTTTTACCATTAATCTCTGGAAACATCCATTGAAATGTTGTAAATGAATTAAAAGATACCCAGTTGTTGGAAAATATTGGTGGTTTCATAACATATACCCATAAAAATCAGGTGTAAAATACATGGGAGCATATTGGATGTCATGTTTCCTTCTACGGAAGCCCGTGAGAACAGACTGCATTTACTGATTTGTTGCAAATGGTTACAAAACTTTCAGCATTACTAAACATCGTTTTTTTACACATTTACCTCTTCGCTTATTGCAAGTGATGAAAGGAATCTGATGTTATTGTGCCGGAGGTCGTGCTCCCAAGGATTTGTGACCCTAATGGCCATCTGTTGGCAGTGTTGTGCCCGAACGCGTTCATTGAACGATCGTTCGTGAATTAGTACATTTTTTTCGTGAAGGTGAACTGAACTCGTTCGTATTTTGCCTGACAAACGTAAAATTGAGTGCGTTCGTCCTGGCATGCGTAAACAGGTTTATGAACGCGTTCTTTCGCCGTTCTAGCTCTAGATCTCCACGAAGCTTTTCTGGAGCTAAAGCCTAGCTAAAACATCCTGTTGACCATAGAGTTTATAAAATTAGAACACATAAATGCGGCCAAACGTAGGCAGTAGCGGTTGCTGCGGCATCTACTCTTCTACGTCTACGCTGTGTGCAGGAGTCAAAGTTCATTCAGAAAAATTGAAATGGGACTTAACTGAAAGATTTTACATTTTTTTATGTTTTGCACTTTTAATATTGCACTTTGAATTTGCTACTTCAACTGCTTCCTAAGGTTGTTTAATAATTACCATTAAAATAATGTTTTCCTCATGTTGTTGAGAATATACTGTAGGATAAAAACTGCAGCTATAGATATAGATAGATAGATAGATAGATAGATAGATAGATGGATAGATGGATAGATAGATAGATAGATAGACGGACGGACGGACGGACGGACGGACGGACGGATGGACGGACGGATAGACAGATAGATAGATAGATAGATAGAAAGATAGATAGATAGATAGATAGATGGATGGATGGATAGATGGATAGATGGATAGATGGACGGACGGACGGACGGACGGATAGACAGATAGATGGGAGAAAAAAGAACTACAGTGAACTTGGTTAAAAAATGTTTAATTATGAACTAAGAAACAAACGAGTTCATTTTAAAATGTATGAACTGAACTTTGAACTAGTTTGTTTCTAAACGAACGTTCCCAACACTGTTTGTTGGTAAGGTCTTACTTGAACACAAAAATAATGCTTTCTTGCAATGATTTAGGTATCTACTGCCCCATGTCACCAGGGAAAATACACACTGTCACTTTAAAGATAAGCAGTTAAATATTTTTCCATATGGCACACATTAAGTTTCAATCCAAAACAAAATGGCAAAGCAAAGGAATAATTTACATCAGTTAATTGGACTAATGTAGTTTTATCTGCCCCCCCCCCCCCCCCCCTCTACCGT